GAAGTCCTCCCCTCTTAAAGCATCCTGGCTGGGGGATTCTGGGAGCTGAAGTCCACCCCTCTTAAAGCTGCCAAGGTTGAGGAACACCGAACTGAAGGCTCTGCCATTTCCCCAACCCCAAAGTCTCTGTCCTTAGCCTGCTCTCTTCCTTTCTTTATAGCCTCTTGTTCCAACGACAATGACCATCAAGGACTTATTAAGACTTCTTGGAGCTGTGGTCGTTTTAATTGGTGGCATTTATCTCTTCATTGCTCAGGTAGGATGTTCTTTTTTGTTTACGGCTCCTCTGACCGCAAATGCATTTTAGTACAGGTAGTCCTTGACTTACAACCATTCGTTTAACAACCAGAAAAAAGTGTCTTACTTGCACTTATGACTGTTGCAGCAATCATAAAGTTGCAACCTTAGCTAGCAGCATGTATTTATGATGATTGCTGCATCCTGGGGGGGGGGGGTGTCACGTGATGATATTTTGTGACGTTCCCAGCCAGCTTCCGACAAGCAAAGTCAATGGGGAAGCCAGCAGGGAAAGTGACCAATTCCACTCATGTGGCATCTCACTTAACAATCTCACCGTTTAACAACAAACTTTTTGATCCCTATTGTGGTCATAAAATGAGGACTACCTGTATTCATACCTGCACTTCTGCCACTGATATGTGACCAGGGGTCTGCCGCTAAAGGTTTGTTAATGAACCGTGGTGGTGCAGTGGTTAGAGTGCAGTACTGCAGGGCTCCTTCTGCTGACTGCTGGTTGCCTGCAATTTGGCAGTTCGAATCTCACCAGGCTCAAAGTTGACTCAGCTTTCTGTCCTTCCGAGGCGAGTAAAATGAGGACCCAGATTGTTGGGGGCGAAAGGCTGACTCTGTAAACCGCTTAGAGAGGGCTGTGAAGCTCTGTGAAGCGGTATATAAGTCTGAGCGCTATTGCTATTGCTATTAAGAACCTGTTGCGGCCTGTCGGCTGCCGGCCCCCTCCAGCACCTAAATCAGAGGAGGAAGAGCAGGCGTGGGAATCAGAGTCAGCAACAAGGCAACCTGGGAGCTCCGAGGAGGAAGAGGGAATCGAGCTGTCAGAGACAGAGATAGAGGCGGAGCCTGGGCCATCCGTCAGCCCTCAGATGGAGAGTCAACAGCCCCCAGGTCTGGAGGTGGCTGATGAGGAACAGCTATGTCCAGGCCCTGATGCACAGATGCACAGAAAACAGAGGAGAGGAGAGCAGTGGAAATCTATGGGCCGGTCCTTGGGACGGAAGAGCCACTGCTACTAGCGAGGCCCCCACCCAAGCTCTGGGGATAAAAGGCAGGGGGCAGAGATGAATAGATGTGACAGACAACTATTCATCACCCTGCTGGACAGACTCGTTAGCTTGAGGTGAGAGGGGTTTTTTTGCCGGGCTGCCGGCACTCCTAATAAAAGGAATTTTTTGAGTTCACATCACAAGGTTTGTTGTGTTTGTAGAGCTGGGTCAGAACAGAACCACTCTTCTGAATACATTGCTGACGCCACACTGTGGCAGGAGCCGTGCGGCATGGCCGAAGCAGCTCCGCTCCGCTCTCAAGAGCTTTTGCACAATCGCCCCCAAACTAACAACCGGCCAGTGTGAATCGGGTCTTACGAGCTCTTTCCCACATCCCTGTCATAATGCGGCATTCTGGATTTTTCTCTCCTTATTTATTCCCTTTTAGAGTTTTTACTTCTGGAGAAGACGCTTCTCTTGGAAAAGTCTTCTAGTGGATAGTTGCTTCGAAATATTCCTGTACGTGCGTATACGTTGCTGTTTTTCTGGAAGGATTAGATATAATGTGCACTAATAATTATTTATTTATTTATTTATTACTGTCCTCTAATTAATTCCAAATCCTAACTGTTTACCGTGTCTAATGGTCAGTTGCTTTGCTTTTGGAGAGATGCTCCTGTAATGATCCAGGGTGTGGCACAAAGACCACCCAGTCAGATAATAAGTAGGGGTCCCTTTATTAGCTCCATCTTTGGCCCCCAATGTCCCAGTTACCTTCCGGTTTGGAGGAAAACTCTCCCAGGAACCTGCAACAGCCTTTGGCTGCAGATATTCTAGTCCAAAATGTTGTAAACAGAAAACTTTAAACTATAAATCCAACAAAAGCAAGATAAGGCAATGAATCCCGCAGGGCACGATAAGGAGTTCCAGTGAAGTGAAGTGAAGTAACACGGCAGTAAATCAAACCAGTTGGGAGGATTCCAGGAACGCAGATAACAGCAGCGAACATTTAGATAAACTCAAAGTTCGTTCCTGACAACTACCCCTCCATCTGCCTCTCCTTTAAACTCCATCCCCAGATGTGCCTTGTGAAGGGGATCAGGGCCCTCTCCTACCTCGTAAGTCATGCAACCCACATTGCTCTCTTCTCTGTTTTTCCTTGTGTGCCCTAGGATGAAGGGGTGGGGGGTGAGCCTGGGTCTTCCTCTAAATCCATTCCCCTTTGTTCTACCTCTTCCCTGCTCTGCCCAGCCTGACTTTGCCCTTCCCTAGTTTCCTCCACAACCAATGGAGCCACTCTCCTGCTCCCTGTTAGCTGACTCTGACCGGGGCATGACAACTCCTGTTCCATTCACCTTATATTTATTTTTAATTTATTTTTATCCCACTCTTATTATGTTTATGCATAATTCAAGGCGGTGAACATATATAATACTTTACTTCCTTCCTTATTTTTACTTAGAGCAACAACACAAGGAGGTGGGTTGGGAGACTGTAATTAATCACACGCTTTGTCCAAACAACCCTCTTTTTATTCCAATGGCTGGGAATTATGTTCATTCCCAGCCTGTAATGAGTCACAAACAGTCTCTTGAGATAAGCACGCACCTTTATCTCCTTTGAATTGCTGACAACAACTAAAGTGCCAAATTAACTATAAAAAGCCAAATGGAGTCCAAGTACAAACAGAGCTTCAAGGTTTAATCTGAACAGAGTGAACAAAGTTGCTTCCTGCAAAAGCTCCTGTCCCTCTGCTCCTCCTTTATCTCTTATGGGAGGGCCAATCATCTGCAAGCCTTACTCCCAAGTCGCCCCTTTTGTCTTAACTGTTCTTGCCTTCTGGCAGCTCTGTGCATGCGTGCACTGGGAACAGGCTCCCCCTGTTCCTCTGCCTCACTGCTGTCAGATTCTGGAGGCTCCGGAGTCAGCACATAACTCCCAGATGACCCTGGCCCCATCTTTATATCAGACGCAGGACCCTCGTCTGAGTCCTCTCCAGATTCCCGCACTGGCCCATGTTCCTCCCCACTGTCCGACTCTGCTGCCAATCCCGCAGGCCACCGGCGGACCACAACAACTAGGAGTGTCAAACTCAATTTCACTGAGGGCCGTATCAGGGTTATGTTTGACCTCGGAGGGCGGGTGTGTGGGTATGGCCAGGGGTGGGCATGGACATGGTGGGCGTGGCTTGGGTGGGCGTGGTCACAGTGGGCATTTGACACAGGCTCAAGATGTGCTTTTCCCCTTCTTTCTTTCCGCAGTTCTTTACTATAAGTTTTTGGCTGGCAGAGTGCTACTGGAAGCCAGGGAGGCCCAAAACAGGCTGTGCGGGGGTCTCCATGCAGCCCATGTTTGGCCTCCCCAACCTCCAGCAACTTCTGACAGCCAGAAATGGGCCGCATGGAGTCCCTGGAAGGCTCTTGGAGGCCTGTTTTTAGCCAGCAGAAGCATCATGGGCTGGTCCTTTGATATTTCTGGCTTGGCCCCGCAAGCCAGTTTTAACCAAGCTGCAGGCCGCATCCAGCCTGCGAGCTTTGAGTCTGGCACACCTGCTCTATACCATGTCAGACAAATGGCAGTCCAGTCTCTTCTTGAAAACCTCCAGTGTTGGAGCATTCACGACTTCTGGTGGCAAGCCGTTCCACCGGTTAATTGTCCTCACTGTTAGGAAGTTTCTCCTTAATTCCAGGTTGCTTCTCTCCTCGATTAGTCTCCATCTATTGTTTCTTGTCTTGCCTTCTGGTGCTTTGGAAGATAAATTGAATCTTTCTTCTTTGTGGCGGCCCCTCAGATACTGCTATCATGTCCCCCTAGTTCTTCTTTTCTCTAGACTAGCCAAACCCAATTCCTGCAACCATTCTTTGCATGTTTTAGTCTCCAGGCCTTTAACCATAGTTGCTCTTCTCTTCTTTTCTGTTTCTCTCTCTGGCCCTTCCAGGTTTGTGCAGGCACTCGCCATCCTGGCCTCGTCCGTGATGTTCTTTGCAAACACGGAAAAATACGTGCTGCCCATGGTGTTCGCTTTGCTTTTGGGCTGGGTGAACATGCTCTACTACACCCGCGGTCTCCAGCAGACGGGAATCTACATTGTGATGATCCAGAAGGTAGGTCACGAAACCAGATCATTTCCCTTTCCAGATATTGGATTGCTCCTGATTTTGCAGGGCAGTTCAGAGTCGAAATGAAGTCGGTCAATTACAGGTCGCCCTCGTTTTTTTAACAACCACAATTGAAACTGGCAGCTTGGTCATTAAGTGAAGCGGTCAGGATGTGAAACATCACAATTGTTCAGGATTTAACTTCCACTTTCCTGCAAAGGTCCTAAATGCAACGACTGGTGGAAAAGTCACTTTTTCATCCGAAGGGTGAAAAATTGCTGTACGAGGCAGTGGTTAAATGAGGACAACATATGAGGGGTCCTTGGCAGGGCTGGGCTGGCACCGGTTCACCCCGGTTCGGGCGAACCGGTTTCTAATTTTATGGCCGGTTTGGTGAACTGGTAAATCCCACCCCTCCCAGGAGTCTCCATGTGGCCTGTTTTGGATGCCAGGTAAGTGCAGGGCCTGCATGGAGGCTCGGGGAGGACAAAAAATGGGACTCCCATAGGCTCTGGAAGGCCAGAAATGGGCCTGTTTCTGGCCTTCACAGGGCCTCTGGACCCCGGGGGAGGCTGTTTTCACCCTCCTGGAGGCTCAAGGAAAGCCTCGGGAGCCCGGGGAGGATGAAAACGCACCCCCCACCATGGTCCAGGAGGCCGACTAGGCCCATGGCAATGCCCACCCAGCAACCGGGCAGAGAAATGGTTGCTAAATTTTTTGGAGCCCAGTTCTGGTCCTTGATGCTCTCTGAGCTTCCTTGTTTTCTTGCAGACATTTCATGACCCAACTAGGTAATTTCATCAGTGCTAGTATGGAGTGTCGTTTATATTATGGTGTTTTGCCTGCCTGTATGGTTGGGAGTATGTTTGGGCTGCTTACTGATGGCTCTTTGGCTGTTTCTCAATTGGGGTATTGTTGGTTTGAAGTTAACCTTGGAGGTAATCCATGTGTCAACTTATGAAACATATTGTATACATGTTTTATAGTTATCAATAGAAAGGAGGGGGGAAGTTTCAAAGAGCAGGCAGCAGTGTGGGATTGAAAGTACATTCCATTCATATTTTCTTCAGAGGCTGATTAGATGACTGAAGTTTCTGCATGAAGATCTAATTCTTCATGATTTAATTGGAGTAACTGCCGGAATCCTGACACCATGCTGATCTGAGTGCTGCTTACTTGTGGAGAGGTGCTGGAGAAGGAAGGAAGGAAGGAAGGAAGGAAGGAAGGAAGGAAGGAAGGAAGGAAGGAAGGAAGGAAGGAAGGAAGGAAGGAAGGAAGGAAGGAAGGAAGGAAGATTGCATTCAACATCTAGATCAGAGGTGTCCAATTCTAGACCAGGCCATGTGTCCAAAAATGGCAGGGAATTTCTAGAAGCCCGGCACTCTGAGAAATCAGCCATCAATAGACAGATGGACAATATGCAAAAGAGGCAAATAACTAGCCCAAAAGAGAACAAAAAGACTCCAGCACCTCTCCACCAGTAATCACCCCCACTCACACAGACAAGCAAGTCACCAGAATATAAACTGACAGCAAATCCCACTGCTTACTAGCACTGATGATGTTACCTAGTTGGGTCATGGAACGTCTGCAAAAAAATAAGCAAGCTCAAAGAGCACCAAGGACCCCCTCATTTCAACCCTGAATTACATATATTCACCTTTATTGAAGACAACTTCCATTTATTTAGTTCCTGCTCAGTTAGTGGTACAGCTGGTGTTAACAATCTGAGCAATGGACTTGAATAACCTACAAAAGCGATTTTCAAATTGGGCTGTCGGGGTTCCAATTAATGCACCCATAATGCAAGCAAAACTCCGAGGCAGGTGGATTCCTCAAAGAATAGTTTTATTGGATATATCAAATTGGCACAGTTCTGGTGAAAACTGATTCTGAAAACTCCCGTGGTTTTTACCTAATTAAAAGTAAAAGTTTTCTCCCTTCTCCAAACAATCAGTGTCACATGGTCCAATCAGGGTGCCGTCCGGTTGCTTGGTGACTTCGCTCCTCCTCTTTCCGGCCACCTGTGGGAACGTCCTTGGTTCCCAGGAGAAAGTCTTTTGATTTGGTTATGAAACCTCAGCTATCCAAGGGTGGGATTCAGCCGGTTTGGACTGGTTCGAGCGAACCAGATGTTAAATTTACACCCGGTTCACCGAATTGGTAGTTGAATTGACCAGCTGGGCCCTCCACTCCCATGAGTATCCACACAGCCCATTTTGGATGCAGGTAACTGCAGAGTCTATGCGGACACGGCCTTCCGGAAGTCTGGGAATGGGCCTGTTTCTGGCTTCTGGAGGGTCTCCGGACGCTGGGGGAGGCTGTTTTCACCCTCCCAGAGGCTTGAGGGAAGCCTCCGGACCCTGGGAAAGGTAAAAAACGGCCCTCCCGAAAGTTTCAGAAGTCCAGAAACGGGCTGGTTTCCAGCTTCCAGAGAGCCTCTGGAGCTCCGGGAAGGCCTTTTTCACTCTTCCAGAGGCTTGAGGGAAGGCTCTGGATCCTGGGGAAGGCAAAAAATGGCCCTCCTGGAAGTTTCAGTAAGCTACGCATACCATGGCCACGCCCACCCAGCAACTGGGCAACGAACTGGTTGCTGGCATTTTTGAATCCCACCCCTCTCTATATTTCCCCCCTCCCTATCCTTCAGCTTTAGTGTGGCAACATTGAAGCAACAAAATGTCTTCGGTCAGGTCAGCTCCAGGGTTGACATAGGCACCCTTTGAGATCCATGTATTTGGCTTAGCCCCGAAGCCAGTTGGCTCGGGGTGCTCCAGCGGTGAGCCCAGGCAGAAATCGCGCACGATCGCGGATTCCTGCCTGCCGCCGAAGCGCTGCAAACCGGAACTCCCTGATCTTCACATGGCTTCTCTTTCTTGTTCTAGGCCATCTTGAGGGACCTTCTGCACTTCCTGATGGTTTATGTGATCTTCCTATTTGGCTTTGCAACAGGTGAGTGTCATAGAGAGGCACAGATGAGCATAGCCAAGATAGATAAGCCCTTTCTCATTTCCACCAGAGCAGGAAGGAGTCAAGGATCAAGGAAAGGTGCTTCTGTTAGTGTCCTTGGTTAAAGAGTTGGTCTAGCAGGTCTGTTTAGAACCCCGAGAATCCCCTCTAGGACTGCTGGGCGGGAATTTATATTAGGAAAGATTTTCTATGACAGGTATACCTTAATCGGGGGTGGGGAGAGTTCAGTTTTGGAACAGACAGAGAGTCCATCAGTAAACAAGCGAGTGAATGAATGAGTGAATGAATGAATAAATGAATGAATGAGTGAATGAACAAATGAATGAATGAGTGAGTGAATGAATAAATGAGTGAATGAATGAGTGAATGAATGAGTGAATGAATGAATGAGTGAATGGGTGAATAAATGAGTGAGTGAATGAATTAATACATGAATGAGTGAATGAATGAACGAGTGAATGAATGAATGAATGAATGAATGAATGAGCAAGTGGATGAATGAGTGAATGAATGAATAAATGAATGAATGAGTGAATGAACAAATGAATGAATGAATGAATGAATAAATGAATGAATGAATGAGTGAATGGGTGAATAAATGAGTGAGTGAATGAATTAATACATGAATGAGTGAATGAATGAACGAGTGAATGAATGAATGAATGAGCAAGTGGATGAATGAGTGAATAAGTGAGTAA